AACTAGCTCTGTGGATATGGGGAAAGCGGTGGACATGATATATCTTGACTTTAGCAAAGCTTTTGATACGGTCTCTCATAATATTCTTGCCAGCAAGTTAAGAAGTATGGGCTGAATGAATGGACTATAAGGTGGATAGAAAGCTGGCTAGATTGTTGGGCTCAATGGATAGTGATCAATGGCTCCATGTCTAGTTGGCAGCCGGTATCAAGCTGAGTGCCTCACGGGTTGATCCTGAGGCCGGTTTTTTTCAACATCTTTATTAATGATCTGGAGGATGGTGTGGATTGCACCCTCAGCAACTTGACAGATGACAAGGGAGGAGTGGTAGATATGCTGGAGGGTAGGGATAGGATACAGAGGGATCTAGACAAATTGGAGGATTGGGCCAAAAGAAATCTGATGAGGTTCAACAAGGACAAGTGCAGAGTCCTGCACTTAGGACGGAAGAATCCCATGCACCGCTACAGACTAGGAACCGAATGGCTAGGTAGCAGTTCTGCAGAAAAGGACCTAGGGGTTACAGTGGACGGGAAGCTGGATATGAGTCAACAGTGTGCCCTTGTTGCCAAGAAGGCTAACAGCATTTTGGGCTGTATAAGTAAGAGCACTGCCAGCAGATCGAGGGATGTGATCATTCCCCTCTATTCAGCACTGGTGAGGGCACATCTGGAGTACTGTGTCCAGTTTTGGGGCCCCCCACTACAAAAAGGATGTGAACAAATTGGAGAGAGTCCAGCTTTGAGCAGGGGGTTGGACTCGATACCTCCTGAGGTCTCTCCCAACCCTGATATTCTATGATTCTATGAAGGTTGGAGGATGGGTCAGGTCCCTGGCGGGAAAAGTGCCCTCACCCCCCCGTACTGTACCGTTCCGGGCCCGTGTGCGGTTGGACCTCTGGATCATGATCTCCATGTTCTTCTTCAGCACGGCGATGTTGCCCAGGGCGCCCTGCGCCTCGAAGCTGGTGAACTTGCCGAAGTCAGGCAGGCGCCAGACGGTCTCCTTCCTCTCCAGGTCCACGTGGAAGATCTCATCCTGGTCGAACTCAAACATGAACTCCCCAGCCTCCCGCTGGGTTGGGTCTGTGCGCTGGTAGAAGGCCACCTGGGAGAGCATGTTCTCCGCTGCAGGGAGACGGGGCGTCAGCACCGCCACTGGCCACCCGGGGAGCTGATCCCCACCCCAGGGAGGGGGGTCTCAGCGCTTCCCTCAGCAGTGCAGCCCCCCAGCTCCCGGGCTGTGACATTCGTACTAGGACTTGCTGGTGTCAGGGGAAGGCAGGTGCATGGAGCACGGTGCCCCCCCCCCCGCATCACAGTGGGGCTCTGGGGCCAGCACTGACTGCCAGGGGAGAGCGCCCCTGCCCCAGTCCCCCCAGCACAGGCCCCCTAGGGCAGCCCTGGTGCAAGGACTGAGAGAGCAGAGACCCCCCTGCTGCCCCCTGCTCAGTTCCCTGGTTTCCATTCACATCTCCCAGCCGAGCAGTGACCAGACCAAACCCGGCTCCACTGGCAAGTGGGGACATGACCCAGCCCAAAGCAGCTCCTGGGGGGAGCTGGGGACTGTGTCTGCAGGACATTTCATTCTCCTGTCTGTGTGTGGGGCTGGTTCCGTGTCCCGCCATCGCCAGGACCTGGTTCTCGGGGCGCTTTCAGTCCCTGGCCCCCTACACTCACACCCCAGGGCCGGTCACTGGAAGACCTGGGAACTCCCCAGCCAGAGACATTAAAGCTGTGCTGGGCGGGTCAGACACACTCCGGGAGGGGGAGGGGACTGGCTCAGGGCTGAGGCTGGGATTCCCCAGGGCCCAAGGGAGTTGGGCACCTACATCCTAGGGAGTCATTCGCTGACCCCAGCTCGCCCGGCAGGATCTCACCGAGCGACTGCAAAGGAGGGGTCCCCCTACCACTAGCTGAGGAGAGAGTCAGCCCCATAGAGCCCCCTCATGGGTCTGAGCCCGTGGGGGGACGGGGGACAATGGGGACAGGCCGGGGATTGGGGCCAGGGGCTCCCTGCTCTGCACAGACGCACTCACTGCTCAGCAGGGTCTGGCCCTGGCGCAGCTCTTTGGGGAACATTTCCCCATCCCCCACTGTGCCTGGTGCACCCCCCTGGGAGGGGTCAGCCCCTGAGTTCCTGTGGGGAAGGGGGGCTGCACCCCTAGGGCAGGGCTTTGTCATACCCAAACCACAGCGACTTCCCCATGATCCCTCTGCTGCCCCCGCGCCAGCCTCCTCTCCCCCGCTGGCATGGGGGTGAGACCCTCCCCTCCCTGCAGCCCCCACCCTGTCCAGATCAGCCCCCCAGCCCTGTCCCTGCCCATCCCATACCCTGCCTGCCATGGCATGACATCCTCCTCCCTGCAGGCTCCCCCTTGTGACCCTCCCTGCCCCATCAGCCCCCCATTGTCCCCTCTCCTCAGCCCCCCAAACCTTTCAATGGTGCCCCCCACTATCAGGAGCTACGCGTCCCCTGAGGAGCAGTGGCAGAGCCGGGCGCACCAGGGCAGGGGTGCGCGAGCACCTCGGGGAGCCTCTCATGGCAGCTGGGCTCCGTGGGCAGGGACCGGCTCCACGGGGCGTTGCTGGGAACTGTCCTGATCACCGGGCCTGGGGCGCACCCGGCCATGCAGGGGCGGCTCAGGGAGCAGGGCGGGGGGGCTGCCAAGCAGTGCCCTGGCTCCCACAGCACCCTAGGGGGTGCACCCCACAGTTTGAAACCCTCTGTGCTAAATGGAACCTCACCCCATTGTTCCACCCCGACGGCTGTGAGCCCTGGGCGGCCGCCCCACTCGCCCTGTCCTGGCTACAGTCCTGCCAACACCTGCCCAGGACAGGGCACTCCTGGATTTGTGGACTCTGATCTCCCCCATGATATGCACAGCCCCTGCCCACGACAGGGCATCCCGGAGCATGTGGAGTCCGATCCCACCCCGGATACACCCAGCGCCTGCCCAGGACGGGGATCCCTGGTGCGCTGGGGTCTCTGCTCACCTGGGGGCTCCGTGCAATGAGTCAGGTGGGTTCTCAGCACCGTCAGTGTCACTAGCAGAGCCCCAGCCCAGCGGCTCCCAGCCCCCAGGATCCGACCCACCCCCATTGCTGCTCAGGAGGGAGATCTGGAAAGTCGTCAGGACCCCCAGCCTGAGACCTTCTCTGCCCAGCTCCGAGCACCAGCCCTGGGACGCTGCCCACGGCCCCGGGGATTGGGCATCCCCAGCCCAGGGGCCAGGCAGCATCGGGTCTGGGCAGCATCATCAGTTGCCAGGCAGAGCCGGCTCCAGCAGGGCTCAGTTCCCTACTTCTCCCTTGTAGGGGGCAGAGCACGGGCCTGA